AAGGGCCCAGGTGAAGCCATCGTTTTTTAATAAAAATCTCCCAGTTGATACAGATATGTAGCCAGGATTACAAACTGTGGGCAGTTTGCAAAAAATCCAAGAGCCAGGAATGTGTCAGCTTGTCCCAAGGCCTGCAGAGGAGCACAGTGTAGGTTAGGAGTGAGATCTGGACCTGGATTTTTCAACTCAGTTTCTGATGCTTTTTTCCCTGGAAGTGGGAGGAAGCAAAGGAGGGTAAAAAGTTTTAGAAAATGAAACTTGGATGAGCTGGATATATTCCCATGAGTGGAACTTTCAGTAATGTGATAGGTAATTTGGTAGCTGCAGAGGAAAAAATGATTTCAGTGATCCAGGAGGGAGCCAGTGGAAGGCCGAGTCAGAATCTCACCACCCCCAGTGGTCTGAGGTACTGCCCAGAGGTCTGGAGAAATCATGAACAAACTTAGTTTACAAGTCCCTCCCTGCTACCTATTTATGATTCATGATTATGAGAGGTGAGATGGTTTCACCCCTTTCCTGATATATTGGGCATTTCATCAAATATGCAGACAAAACAGCAATTCTGGAAGAGCTTATAGTTCTGCTTCTTCTTTTTTTTTTGAGGCAGAGTCTTACTATATTACCCTGGGTAGTGTGCCATGGCCTTATAGCTCATAGCAACTGCTAACTCTTGAGCTTATGTGATTCTCTTGTCTCAGCCTCTCAAGTAGTCCTGGGACTACAGGCACTTGCCACAATTCCCAGCTATTTTTTTGTTGCAGTTGTCATTGTTGTTTTTCTTAGTTGGCCCGGGCTGGATTTGAATCCACCAGCCTGGGTGTGTGTGGCAGGTGCGGTAACCACTGTGCTACGGGCACCAAGCCTACAGTTCTGCTTCTTCACTGCCCATCCCCCCAGATCCCCATCTCACTCAGTGTCTGCAAAGAAGACACCAAGGGGATGAAAAGCTGCCTCTAGGAAAAGCCATCAAGCTTCAGGCTCTTGAAAAATGACAGTTGATTTATTAAAAAAAAGAAAAAAAACTTGCACTAAACATTTCCATGGAATAAGTTGGCAATAGAGACTGTTTCTACAGATAATGAGCTTGAAAGCTTATAGTTGTTGAGTGCTTTGCAGTCTTTCAAGTTTTTGTGTAGGCAACATTAAATTTGGTCTTTGAATTTCACGTGAGTGAAGCAAAGTGCATTAGTATATTCTACTAGTTAGACAAGAAGAAAATTTCTATCCCACAAGGTTTTTCAAACTTGCCTAAGGATAGGAATCACCTGGGGCAGTTTGTGAAATAAAGTCCCCAGGTGTCCCTTCTGGAAGTGCTGGCTCTTAGGGCTTGGTCAGGCCTGGGAATCTGGTTTTGATTTTCCTTTTTGTTAAGATAATTGTCTCAGGTTTTTCTTACCCATAGGTGAATGATGGAAGTCTATACTAGAAGAGAACCTAAATAATGGGTTGACCAAGAAGCAGGAACAATTATGGGGGAAAGTTTCTCTAGTTTTGACTTTGAAGGATCTTGGTTTAAATTTTGTCCCACGACACGTACTCAGTAACTTTCCACAAATTACTTAAACTTCCTTTGTCTCTAAATCCTGTATAATGGGACTAATTTTATTGTCAGAATGTCGAGATCAGAAGAGACAACAAGTCCACATTTCATCCTTCCTAGATAATAATGGTGCCAGGGCCTAGTAACTGCTTGACGTGTGGAAGTGACTGCAGCTAATGACCAAGCAACCATATTGTCAGTCACAGCTCTGAATTAAAAATCTAAGTCTTGGCTTGGCACCCGTAGCTCAGTGGTTAGGGTGCCAGCCACATATATTGGGGCTGGCAGGTTCAAACCCGGCCCGGGCCTGCTAAGCGACAGTGACAAATACAATAAAAATATAGCCAGGCATTGTGGCAGGTGCCTGTGGTCACAGCTGCTTGGGAGGCTGAGGCAAGAAAATCACTTATGCCAAGTTTAAGGTTGCTGTGAGCTGTAATGCCACGGTACTCTACCAAGGGCGACATAGTGAGACTTTATCTCAAAAAAAAAAAAAATATATATATATATATATGTATATATATATAAAGTCCTGTCTCTATATTAAAATAGTGGTTCTCAGCCAAAGGTACTTTTACCCCCAGAGGATATGTGCCACTGTCTGGAGGACCTTTTTTATCTTTACAGCTGAGAGGTGTTACTGATGTCTAATAGGGAGAGGCCAGAGATGCTGCTAAACATTCCGCAGGGTACAGGGCAGCCCTCACAATGGAGAACAGTGCAGCCTAAGTGTCACAGTGCTGCTGTTGAGAAACTCTGTCTGGTCCAAAGGTTCAATGAGACAAGTAAGAAGCCTTGTGAGTGGAGGAATAAACATGAGTCATTGAGACCCCCATTGTAGACACAGGTGGAAAACAGAAGTGTTTCTGATGGAGCAGAACATCTCTGGATGGCAAGGTCAGAGGCACAAATGTACCCTGGTAGTGGTCCCAGTCAGGGCCTACTGCTTGCACACTCAAGACTCACCGTGGTCTTTGTAGGATACAACGTGAATGGCATCTGTTGGGGTTGTGCAATGAGGCAGCTTTGGCGCTGACCTGTAGTATTGTTGCAGTAAAACAAGGCCCACTGGGGAGAAAAGAACACTGGAACATCTGTGTTTTAAAAAGGAAGGGCTTTATTTCATCTGGCAAAGCCATAGGAGATGAAAGTCCAAAATGGCTGAGCTCCCCAACTGGCTCTATTCTTTCCCTTTTATCTCCACCCAGGGGTTCCTTGTCCATGGATACCCTTCTCATTGGCCAGTTTGAATCAAGCTAGGGAAGGCTTTTACAGTGTGGAAGCAAGTGTTATTTCAAGGTCCCAGGGAGTTAAGATTCTACAAATTCCTAAGAGCTGAGTCACCATGGGGAAGACTTTGCAGGTGTGTCCCTGGAGCTCCTTTGAGAAGTCTTTTGTTCTCTCAGACCTTACTTTTCCCAGGTATCCTCTTTTATTATCACTGTGGGTAAATTTTTCATCCCTCAAATCCAATACCTCATTAGACAAATGATCATTAGACTTACCCAGTGAAGCTGTTAAAGTGAAAGTTTCTGGCTCCATTTTCTGGAGGTTCTGCTGTAGGGTCCAAGAAAGAACCTAGAAGCCATATTTATGAAAATCACCTCAAGGGACTCTGAAGCACAGTCACAGCCCATGTGAGTCCTCTAAGTTTTCCACCAACTCTGAAATGCAGGGTATCTGTAAAACCTGGAAAATAGAGAAATGAAGATGTGGCAGATATAGTGTCTTTCACCTCATGCAAATTAGCAGGTTTTGCAGGTCTGAGGTGTTCAGATTGACTTTATATTTTTACTACTACTATGAACACAACTGCTGGAAGAAATAAGAATAGTTAATAGTAACACAGAATGTCAGGGTTGGTACCCTGTTCTTTAAAATTAAAATGAAAGGGGGCCAGGTGTGGTGGCTCATCCCTGTAATCCTAACTCTGGGATTTCTTTAGTTCAGGATTTCAAGACCAGCCTGAGAAAGAGCAAGACCCTCTTCTCTATTAAAATTAGGAAAACTAGCCAGGCCTCATGACAGATGCTCAGGCCCAAGTGTTTGAGGTTGCTGCGAGCTATGATGAAACCATGGCAAAGTGAGACTTTGTCTCAAATATAAATAAATAAATAAAATGAAAGGACCTCAAACATCATCTGAAGTGTATTTCTCCATTTCTCACCAGGTCTTCTGGGCTAGGGAAGCTTGCTCTTCCTCCTCTCCAGCCCTGGGCTTCTGCTTCCTCAGTGCTGACCAGTCTGTAGCTCCCCTCACTATCTTTACCATGCCATGATGATAGAGAACATTTTGTCAATTAACACAAATTCCAGTCACATCAGGCCTCTGCCTATAACATATTTCTACTGAAAGTGCAGGAGGCTGTGGGGACTCCTAACAGAAGAACTTGACATTGGCGCATGTACATCTTCTACTTGAGAACTCTCTCTGCATTTCTGCCAACTCAGACTGGCAGATCCCTTGTTGCTGGGATCTGGCTTGCAGGCCTCTTTCTTCCCAATCTAGATGGCAAAATGATTGAATCAACGAATAAATATTTATGTTAAAATGTAAAATAGGTGTGCACGTATGTTTATGTGTCTCTATATTTTTATGTGTAAGTGTACGTATATATGCATACACACTCACACACAGACATATATATATATATACACATATGTATAAACATAAAATGTAAAGTTTCCTTTGCAGAACAACTCGGCCCTTCTTTTGTTCCTTTGTTCTGCTCTCTTCTTACTTATCCCACCCTGGGGTTTGACTTTTCATTCTCTCGTGATGACCCAATAAACTGTTTACATGAAAAAGCCAAGAAAATCCTGTTGCCAGCTGCTGGGACGCTCCGAGATCCCAATAACCTAGCATTCGTGCAGTCTCCCATCCACTGTTCTTTGGTTCCTTTAATCCTCACCAGAACATAACATTGATCATTATTTTCCTTATCTTTTTGGGTGAAGACCTTACCTTCAGAGATCCAGTTAATTGCTTGAGTTCAAGTAGAGTAGAGGCTGTAGGGACAATCCCTGATTCCCCAAGTCTTAAATCTAGAACTTTCCTTTCCTCAGCTGGTAGTTCTCTGCCCTGGATATACATTAGAATCATCTGGGGGTCTTGAAAAATACAGTGGTGGACTGTGGTAGTTCTGTGGGAGTGGTGCCCAGACAACTGCATGTTTAGAAACCTTCCCTGGTGATCCAGAGGGCAGCCTGCTCAGTGCATTGATCCCAAAGTATCAACCTGACAACCAGGGCAAATGGCACAGTTGCTCCCACAGAGGTAAGGCTGTGCTCACCCCTGCTTTTTCTGGACCACAGAGTATGTGCTGCTCCACAGTCTCACCCAACCTTCTTCTCTATGTTGTTTTCAGACCAACATTAGATAGCATTCCAGATGAACATTTACCTGTCCAACAGGTCTGTCCACATCCTATTTGTCCTTATCCTCTTTTCCTTCTTTACAGGCACTAAGCGACATTCTCATGGCTCACCTGCCCCAAGCACTAGCTCGACGAGTCGTCTGACCTTACCAGGTGGGTAAACAGCATTGTGCTGTTAGTGACCAGTGGCAATGGAAAGGACTGGTCTCTCGGTAGCTGAGTTTAGCAGTTGATAAACTGAGAACCTGACTCTGTCTGTAGCCACTCTACTCCACATTGTCAGAGTGTTGTCTCTGTCACCCACGTTTGCGAGGTCCCTCCAGGAACAGACATAATATTTTCACAATTGTTTCACAATCTCTCCCACTCACCGATGGAAATAGTAGAATCTAGCTCATCCTTGAAGTTCATCTGGACGGACTATAGCAGTATCTGCCTTTCAGAGGCAGATGGTGCAAGGATGGAGTATGAGTCCTTGGTGAGAGAGGGACCTGGGTTCAAATCCCAGCTTTGCCATGTTCAGAGTGTGTGACCTCACATATTGTACTTCAGCTACTTGGAACTTCTATTTTCTCATCTGTCTGGGTGATGATAAGGATTAGAAGTAATGCTTATAAATCTAGCACAGTATGGATACGTACTGGATGTTCATAGTAATCTACACTATTGAGAAATACAGAAGTCCTGTCTGACCTTAATTGGAGCCCATCTAACAGGTACTAGAAAATGTTCAGTATTCGTATGATCATGTAGAATCACCATGTAATATAAAGGGAAGCTACTGGGCATTCTGTCTTCAGGCATAGGCTTGCGTTGTCTCCTGCGGTTTAATTTACATAAGTAGGACTTGGAAAAACACATCTGTTTTGGGAGAAAGAAAGGGTATAAAAGGTAAATATAGTCATTGCAAAGAAATTGAAAAATAATAAAAATTAAAAGAAGAAAAAATGTTGCCAGTAGAGCTACCCCACAGAGTTAGCCAAGGTTACCTCTCCTCCCAGTGTTTATTAAACACTTTTATCCTAGATTTGAATTATACTTTAAGTGAAGTTTTGTTTCCTCCCTTTAAAATTTTGCATTGACATTATGAGATTATCTCTATGTAATTAAATAATTTATCAAATATTTCAGTGATTGATTAACATTTCTGTGACTTTGCCAATATATATTTGTATATTTATTGATAATTTGGCATTTCTGTAGCTTACATTTTTATTCTGATAAGTAACCTTCCAGGCCTGTACATAAATCTTATTCTGAGGTTGTAAGTATGGATTCAGGATAGATTCTGCAGATGGGATTACTGGCTCAAAGAATACAAACATATTTATGTTCTTGATGCATTATTGTCAAAGTGGTTTCCAGAAAGGTAGTATTAATTGATGCTTTTGGCATGGAGTTGTCTGTTTCACTATCCCTTGCTAATGCTGAGCATCATTTTTAATACTTTACTAATTTGATAAGAAAAAATGCATTTTAGAGAGAAAGTTTTTTTTCCCAAGGTATATTTATTTTTATTGCTTTTTGGTCTTTTGTTACTACATAGTCCTATAAAAGAAATGCTTATTTATTGTAAACAATTTAAATAACACAATGTATGTAAAATAGACAGTAAAAATTCAAACAATGACAAAAAACGTATAAAGAGAAAATGAATGTCCTCAGAAGCAACCACTGTTAACGGTTTGAAGTACATGTTTAAGACATTCTCATGAAAATATGTTAATTAATATTCACTTGTTTGGGATTCTAAGTAGAGGCATTTTATAGAGACTATTCTATAATCTGTGTTTATCATTCAACAGTCTAGCACTGTGTCTAGACTTCTTTTTAGGTCAAGACATGAAGATCTATCTCATGTCCATTAAAAGTTTTATGCTACAGACCTTCCTTTGTAGGGAAAAACAATTTATTTATTCGTTCATTCTACAGGTATTATTGAACAATGACTTACACGTCCATGGACTTGCCTACTTAGTACCCCTCTACACATATCTTCTGAGAACTGCTTTCTCCATTTAGTTGTGTACCATAATGGCCATCATACTAGGAGACTTTCATCCTCTTTCCTAACCTCTATTCTTTGGTTCCAGTGCGGGCATTCGACACAAGTGAGCTGTGGGAGAAAGGGCTAGTTGTCACTAGAATTTGGGCTTCCTTTTCTGTAATATATGGAGGAAATGAGGCACAAGTCAGACAATATCCAGATATTAGAATGTGTTTTGCAGATAATGCTAGCTATCTACCAATAGCTATTCTCCCTTTCTTACTGAGTATATGGTTAGATTACATTTCTTATACTCTCTTGGTCATATGTGGTTGAGGTGAATGTTTGCCCATGGAATGTGAGTGGAAGTAATGCGCACCACTATCTTAGTTGTCTCTTGCTATATATCCAATTATAGTCTAAAACAGTGGTTCTCAACCTTGCTAATGCCACAACCCTTTAATACAGTTCCTATGGGTCATGACCCACGGGTTGAGAACCACTGGCCTAAAAGCACAACAACGTTTATTATTTTCACTTTTTTTTTTTGGCAGTTTTTGGCCGGGGCTGGGTTTGAAGCTCCCACCTCCGAGGGCCGGTATATGGGGCCAGTGCCCTACTCTTTTGAGCCACAGGCACCACCCAACATTTATTATTTTATACAGTTAAAAATGATATCCATATCCATATTTGGTTTGAATTTATCTTTAAAAAAACTATTTTCTAATGTTAATTCGTAATTTACATTTCTTCTTTTTGGAAAATCTTATTTCATCCATACTAAGAAGCACATTGCCTTGCATTCTAACTTCTTTAAAATTGAGATGTTTTGCAATCAATGGTGTGTGATAATTTAATTAGCAACATTTTTTTCTTTGTAGCATATGATATAATAGTTCACCATTAGTGGCATCTTAGAGTACATGAAATATAATCTCTTACTTACTTGCTTTTACAACTTCCATTTCTACAGCTCCGCTATTCTAGTCCAACCACTAGGCTGAGGGTCCACTGAGTACCCTTCAAATTTTCTTGCCTCTGTGACTATCTGGGACCCTCTTTACCCTTTTCTTTTCTTGACTCATCACTCTGTCCAATTCTCTCCAAATAATCTATATGGAAATAATATTACATTACAATGATTTGTTTATAAGTCCCTTTACCCGTTGACAAGTCCATGATGGGGACTGTCATATTCCAGTACTGCTGAGGTGATAGGCCATATCAGGTACTCAAGGATGTTTTTTAGCTGGGTATATGGGTGTGTCTGAGCACTCTCCCATTTAAATTATGACTTGTAGATAGGAACCATCCTCAGAAAAAAAGTCTCATTTTAAAGTTTAGATTTGCTTCAGCTATACTAACTTAGTTTTTAGTACTGAGTAGACCTGGCTCTGTATTGTTTTTTTTTTTGCAGATTTTGGCCAGGGCTGGGTTTGAACTCGCCATCTCCAGCATATGGGGCCAGCACCCTACTCCTTTGAGCCACAGGGGCTGCCCAGCTCTGTACTACTTGGAAGCCCCTTGCATCTTATCTCTTCTGGTTGGTTATTATACTCTTAGGACTACTGAACATTAGGAGAAAAACAGCTTTAAACCAAGATTCAGTGATTGACTAACATTCCTATAATTATACCACAATTTATTTATATATTTATTGTTAATTTGGCATTTATGAGCTTTTATTCTGATAAGTAAGCTTCCAAGCCTGTACATAAATCTTCTGAGTTTGTAAGTGTGGATTCAGGATAGATTCCTATGGGAGGGATTACTGACTCAAAGAACACGTGCATATTTAAGTGTGAAGTGGTTATGTGTGTTCCTTGCAAGGCCATGACACTTCTGGGTCAGGTGGAACTCTGAGGTCATCTGTTCATCATCTACAAGAATGTGCAGAGTAGGGCGGGGCACCTGTGGGTCAGTGAGTAGGACACTGGCCCCATATACTGAGGTGGTGAGTTTGAACCTGGCCCTGGCCAAACTGCAACAAAAAATAGCCAGTTGTTACGGCAGGCACCTGTAGTCCCAGCTACTCAGGAGGCTGAGGCAAGAGAATTGCCTAAGTCCAAGAGCTGAGGGTTGCTATGAGCTGTGATGCCATGCCACTCTACCAAGGGTGACAGAGTTAGACTCTGTCTCTAAAAAAACAAACAAAAACAATGTGCAAAGTGGTCCTGGGTCCCACTTGCTCTGCCAGGTCTCAAGGCCTCTGACTCAGCATGACAGCCACCTTGTCTGTGATCTAGATGGGCAGTCTACACTGGTTCCAAAGTGGGAGTCTTATGTTCTGAATTCTGATCTCCTCTAAAGTCTGTGGGGAGGAGTGGGTAGTTCTCAAAACGCCAGATATAATTAGCCATGTTTTGACTAGCAGATGTACTCCCCTAACTCACAACAATGTCTAGTCCTCTACTTTCCCTTCCAACCTCAGGAACATCTCAGAATATCTTCCTCTGATTCAAATGCCTTGAGGGCTCCCTCCACAAACCTGGTTAGCTCCTGCTCACAGTTCCACCTAAGGACATCAAAACTATAGAGGAAACAATTCTTCTGAATTACCACCAATAAATAGATTTTATTTAAAAAGATTTTAAAATCCTTTGATTATATAGCCAGTGAATGAACATAGTTGGGAATTTAAGGTTTATATATTTTCTTCAACACCATCTATATGGCTAGATCCAGTTTAATCAAATTAATTAGCTGTAATGAATCCAATTCAGTCATTATAAGATGAAAACAATTGTTGTGAATTCTAGTCAAGCTGGCCAAGTAAGTTCATTGTTTGGCACACACTCCTTTGTTCTAAATACACGCAAGGATAGATAAAGTACAGTAGGACCTCTGTGAGTTGACTGTTCGTGGGACTGTAACAAACTGGTCCATCATGGAGGTGGTCAACACAAGGAACTTCCATTGAGTGCATATGGTGCTATGGTGTATGTCTGGTCTATGAATATTAGGTCAACTTAAGGAGGTGGTTAAAGAAGGGAAGTGGTCAACTGTGGAGGTCCTACTATATTTTCTATTTAAAATTAACCAAAATTCCACAGGCAACAAGAAAAGCAGTGTTTAATTTGGACTTCATTGAAATGAAAAATAGTTGCACATCAAAGGACTCTATCAACAGAGTGAAAAACCAAATCACAGAATGTGAGAAAATACC